GAATCACTAGTGTAGATAAGATCATCTACATAAATACTTACAATCAAAGTGCTCTTCCCGTCTCTCTTTGTGAACAATGTGTGTTCACAGTAGCAACGTCTGAAACCTTTGCTCACAAGATATCCTTCGATTCTTCTGTACCAAGCTCTGGGAGCCTGCCTTAATCCATATAGAGCCTTTCTGAGCTTGTACACCTTACCGCTTTCTTCATGAACCTCGAACCCCTTTGGCTGCTCCACATAAACATCCTCATCCAGTTCCCCATGTAAAAATGCACTCTTCACATCAAGTTGAAGTATCTTCCACTTCTTTTGTGCAGCCAATCCGATGATTAATCTAATTGTATCCCATCTCGCAACAGGAGCAAAAACTTCATGAAAGTCCACTCCTTGAGTTTGATGAAACCCCTTAGCAACCAGCCTAGCCTTGAACTTGTCTACTTCTCCCTTCTCATTAAGTTTGGTCTTAAAGACCCATTTTACTCCTATCACCTTCGCACCCTCCGGCAAAGAAACCAGCTCCCATGTACTGTTATCCTCAATGGATTTAATCTCAGCTTCCATCGCTTTCCTCCACTTCTCATGTTTCACAGCCTCTTCAAACCTTTCTGGATCCTCGAACTTCTCAGGTTCCTCCTCAGGGACGTACAACACCACTCAGTCATCCATCGCTTCTTCCTCCTCTCCCATTATGAATAGACCCTTTCCTTCACAAACATAGTCTTGCATCCAGGCTGGCCTCAACACGTTTCTACCGGCTCTGCTCCTGCTAGCACTTGGTTCTGCGGTCTCTGTTTCAGTAGTAGCAGTATCAGTCGCAGTCTGCTGCTCTTCTTGCTCAATGTTATCATCTCCTTCTGCGTTAACAGCCGGATCAGTTGGTTCTACCGCAGCATCATCTCTCAGCTGCTCGTCTCCAGCGACCTCTATCATCTTGTCTCCTTCACTTTCTTCCTCCCAGTCGTATGGTGTATCCTCATCAAATCTCACATCTTTGCTGATGATGATCTTCTTTGTGATCGGATTGTAGAGTCTGTACGCCTTAGACTCTTTACTTACTCCAACCATTACACACTTAATACTTTTCTCATCCAACTTTGTTCTTCTCTCATACAGTACCAATGCAAAACTTACACATCCGAACACACAAAGATGCTCCACTGAAGGTTTGTGTTTGCTCCATCTCTCAGAGGGTGTAACATCTCCTAGTATTGCTGTAGGTGATCTGTTGAGTATGTGTACAGCATACTGTGCAGCTTCTGCCCAAAACCTCAATGGTACTTGCATCCCGAACAGCATACATCTCACCATATTCATCAAGCTTTTGTTCTTCCGTTCAGCGATCCCATTCTGCTGTGGCGTGTATGCCGCAGTGAGTTGACGTTTGATTCCTTCTTCGGTACAGAACTCCTGGAACGCCTTGGAATTGTATTCTCCTCCTCTGTCACTACGGAGACACACCAGAAGTTCTCATGCTTCTCTCTCGACCATTGCCTTGAACTCTTTGAACACCTTGAATGCCTCAGACTTTTCTGTTAAGAAATAGGTCCAGCACTTGTGGCTGTAGTCATCAATGAAGTTGATGATGTATCTTCTTCCGCTTTCTGATACAGGTGAGATCGGACCACAGATGTCAGTGTGTATCAGCTCAAGAACTTTGCTTGCCCTCCATTTGCTTTGTTTCGGAATGTTTGTGTGAATCTGCTTCCCCTTCATGCAGGTATCACACACGGCTCCTTCGTTGTTGATTTTTGGCAACCCACGCACCATATCCTTCTCAAATAGCATCGTTAGTCCTCTTTGACTCAAATGTCCGAACCTCCTATGCCATATCTTCTCGTCATTTGACTCCACCGTCTGTAGCTGATTCAGCTCCACCTCCCTTGCTTTTCTCACAGTGGCTTTGATTACGAACATTCTGTTCGTCGACATTGTTGAGAGCATGATCATCTTCTTTTGCTGCTTGTGCCACACTTCACACACATCGTCATCAATGGTGATTCTGAGCCCCCTTTGTTGCAATTGTCCTACACTTAGGAGATTGTTTCGCAGCCTAGGGACATAGTAAACTGATGAGATTACTTGAACCACTCCGTTAATCTCAAGTCTCAGATTACCTTTCCCTTCCACGTGCATCTTCCTGTCATCCCCGAGCCTTACTTGTTGACGAAACTGAGAATCCAGGGTGATGAACCACTCTTTGACTCCACACATGTGGTTACTACACCCTGAATCCAGATACCAAACTTGCTCAACCTCCTCTGTGATTTGCGCCATGAGCAGTATATCTTCCTCAAGCTCGGCATAGTTAGCTGACCTTTCCCATGTAGGACACTCGTTTTTGTAGTGACCCATCTTGTGGCACTTGAAACATTCAATGTTACTCTTGTCAAAGCTTCCACTGCCTCTTTCATGACCTCCTCTGCCACCTCCTCTAAAGCCTCCTCTGCCTTGGTTCTGAGATGAGCCTCCTCTTCCTTGAGAGTATCTTCCTCGACCTCTTCCATCTTCCATTCTTAAAGCATGCTCTTCTCCCACATGCTTACTTAGATTCTGCTCGTGTACCAGGAGTGAACTTTGAAGCTCGTCGACTGTCAGCTCCTTGATGTCTTTCGACTCCTCTATGGCACACACGATGTAGGTAAACCTCTCTACAAGCGTTCTCAGAATCTTCTCCACAACCTTCTCATCGGGCATATCTTCTCCCAAGTTCCGCATATCATTGGCAACCACCATAACTCGGGAGAAGTATTCAGTGATTGAATCGCCTTCTTTCATCTCAAGAACTCTCAAAGCTTCGACGCAACCTCTGAAGCTGTGCGCTCTGTACTCTCTTGTTTCCTTGGAACTTCGTCCTCATTGACTCCCAGATATCTCTTGCAGTCTCCTTCTTTGCGATCGTCTTCAAGATCGTCTTCTCAATGGATGCAAAGAGATAGTTTTTCACCTTGAGATCTTTGAGTTTCTTCTCGGCAATCTCTGTCTTCTGTACCTCCGTCAAGACCAGGTTACTCTCTGTTTCAGTGATCCCAACCTCGATGAGCTCCCACCACTCCTTGGATCTCAACAAATTCTCCATGAGCATTGCCCAATGCTCATAGTCCCCATCAAACTTAGGAATGTTCAACAATGAATCTCTTTCACTCATCTCTCACTTTGTGTTTAATCGAAATAGAGCAATGGCTCTGATACCACTTGTAAAGATTGAAGACAATATCTGAACTGATTCTTTCTTATTGCTTTTTAGAAAAAGAGAACGAGTATAACGTATTTAAACTAAAACGAAAAACGAAAGCTAGCTAGAGTTTAGGAACAGAGTAACCACTACTGATCAGTTTCCTACAAAACATGAACTGCTTATTGACTACGTAACACCTTAACGAAACACTAAAAACTCGGATGACTAAGCACTTTATTCTTCAACGGCACGCCCAATGCCGTCGTCACTCTTTCTTCTCCGGCGCGTCATCACCACGCTCGATCGTGTTCCGTCACTGGGATGTCAACCGTCAAGCGAGCTCAGCAAGTCACCGCCAAAGCCGCAGCTCAGAGACTCGCCAAGGTCATGGTTTCACAGACCACCGTCGGCGTCGATGCCCTAGATCTCCGCTACGGCGCTCCTCCTCTATCCTTCACGAGAAACAATGCTTCTACTCCAACTAAACCTAGACCTTCTACTTATGTTGCTTATGTTCTTTCTCCTCCTCCTAAGATCGGTAGATCTTCATCTCCTGCGGTAAATTTGTTGACTCAATTTACCAAAGTTTGATCATTTTCACGTTTTTATTTTTGCAATGTGAGAGATGGATTGAGACGTGATTATTGCCATTTTTGGAATGTTTGTAGTAAAAGTAAGTGTTAAGTGGAATGGCCAAGATGAGTAGATTTGGTTTCTTTGAAAATTCAGGAGAGATAAGACAATGGTCCGAATCTTATCTGAGTAGTTGGATATAGATGGAAAGCGTATGTGTCAACGAGACCTTACCTACCACCAACCTCTTTTAAATATCAAAAGGCGATGAGTTTGCATGCAGAGAGATAGTGAGAAAAAAAAAGATGTGGAAGAAGAGCTTAGGAGAGTTGAGCAGCGAGGACTGTGTGAAAGCTGGATTAGAATGTGGAGGACGCTAAGGGATTTGAGAAAGTGGTCAGAGATGTGATTTCAAGAGCTTAAGGGGTTGACCCAAGAGATCAGGAGAGAGCTTTGGTGGATGTGAGTGTGCTTAAGCCATGGCATCCTCATCCTCTTCACCAGCTTCTCTATTACTCTATCTATTCAAACTGGGATTCATCTATCCATCGCCCTCCTCTTTATTAGTTTTCTTCTCCGTAAGTCTATCTCTCTCTCTCTCTTTCTCAAACGAACTTTGTCTGAATTTCTGAGTGTCTGTTTATTTCTTCTTTATGTGTGTTTAGATCTCTGTCAAAATCCATAAACTTAGGAAGGCTAATGAAAACTCATAGGCCAGGGCTTCTTGGTGCTTCATATAAAAATCCTCTTGAAAATTTTGATGTTTTCAGGAGATTATCAGTTGTACACCCTGATGTAAGGCAGTGACGTTGAATATTGATGAAAAGAAAAAGTCTCTTTGTGGAAGCTTTGCTTTGGTTTAATTTTATGGGATTTTTTCTTTTGCAGGTTACACAAGAACATATATAGAGAGATATCTTGCTCTTTGAAAACCAATGGATTACGAGAAAGTCAATGAGCTTAACCTTAAGGACACAGAGCTTCGTCTTGGATTACCCGTAACAAAACAAGTTAAAGGAAGAAAAAGAGGTTTCTTGCGTTAGAAGCAACAAGCGATAACTTCAAAGTGGAAAGGAGGAAGAATCTACACCTCCTACGAAGTGAGTAAAGATCTGAGTTTCAATCTATTATTTTAAATTATGTATGAGTTGTTGTACTAATGGTGATTCTTTGCTGATTTTACAGAACTCAAATTATTGGTTGGCCTCCGGTGAGATCTTACCGTAAAACAACAACAGTGTGAGCTATGAATGGATGGAGCCCCATACCTTAGGAAAGTATATCTCAAAACATACAAAAACTATCCAGAGCTTCTCAAGGCAGTAGAGAACATGCTCAAGTTCACAAATGGTGAATACAACGAAAGAAAGGGTATAAAGGATCTGGAGTTGTACCAACGTACGAGGATAAAGATAGAGATTGGATGTTGGTTGGTGATGTTCCATGGGATATGTTTTCTTCCTCTTGTAAGAGATGCAGAGTCATGAAAGGATCTGATGCTCTTGCTTTGGACTCTGCCTTATGATGGATGAAATCCTTTTTAAGTTGATTCTGATTGGCGATTGAGTAGTTGACACACAAAAAACATACATGTCAGGGTTTTGTTCGATGCGTTAGATCCATCTCCAAGTGTTTTTTGTTTTTAGATTTAGAGTTTGATTTAAAGTTTTTGATGAAATTTTATGTACAATACGGACATATACACAATATAGATGAGTTGTAGACAGCACTGCATGATATGCCCAAAACACATTTGTAGATAGCCAAAACTCACAGCTTTTAAATTTTATAATAGGCAATTTATACACATCATAAAATTATCCAACTAAAACTAACTCAATAATTTGGAAAATGACCATTATTTCAGCAGAAAACCAACAACAAACAAACACAACCAAAGATGGCACTCGGCTACAGATACAAGAAAAACTGAATCACAACAAGAAAACACAGTTAAAAGAACACATACAAAACCTTAAACCCATAAAAATAAATAACTTAGAGAATCAAAGAACAAACAAAAACACTGACATCATTTTATCATATTTAAAAAAAGCACAAATTAAGTCAATGACCCCGCGCTTGCTCTACATTTGAGCAAGTTGCGTCAAGCTCTGAGTACTTCATTTTGGGCTTTTGTTTTTGATCTGGTCCTTGGCCCAATGAAATAAACCATCGTGTCTCCCCCTTGGTGGAACTCCTTAGTTTGGGCCGTATAAGCCTAGTCTCGTCCACCAGCCAATTGGGCTCGAGCCACTCTAATTCTAACTTGCCTGTTGGCATCTTGAGGGTCAAGTTGGCGTGACAAGTGATCTCCGTTGTTCCATTTCTCGATGAAACCTCCGATTCACCCATTTCCAGCTGTCCATTTCCCATTTCCGGTGAACCATTTCCTGTCCAATTTTCATTTCCAAATGTATTGCTGGCTGTTAAATTTTCCAGGTGCCTTTTGGATGAGTGGTGAAGTCTTGTCCAATGATAGCCGCATCAGAATATCCAAATAAATTTCATAAGCATGGGTATTGGGATCTTCGGTTCGGATCTTTTCAGGTTCAGAATCTTTGAGTGTTAAACATTTGGACGCAACAAAGTATTTGGAGAAAAATGGTTCAGTTTTGGGTTGAGTTTTCTCGGATCCGTGTCAATTTGGGTAGACAATTTTTATACCTAGAAAAATCGCTATATTCGGATACAAATAGTTTGGGTATTTTCTAATCTTTTCATGTTTTCAGATTTTTTTTGTTTGTATTTTTGGATCATTTTCATGTTTTTGAGTCCATTTTTTTTGTAATTTTGGATCTTTTTATGAATTTTGAGTAATTAAGATATATTTTATCTTATAGCCGAATTTGTACTCAGATTTTTTTGTAACCCGCAATTTAAATACATGCAAGAAAAAAAATTCATAAAAATAATACCAACTTTTCACAATAGATATTAGATTCGAGTAAATTAAATTCGGATCAATTTTTACCCTTTCAGGTTTAGGGTTTGATCAGGTTCAAGATTCGCGGATTCTCCACAGTCAAATCAAAATGAGTAAAATGTTTTTATTCGTATCCTACCTGAACCGGTTTTTGGTCGGTTCCGGTTTATCTTCGGGCTCGGGTTAAATACCGAATTAACTTAGATTTTCACATAAAACCCAAATTATTACATTCCCTCTATATATTTCATATTAAGTGTTATTTTAATTTTGTACATACGGATTAAGAAAAACAAATTAATTTTACATATTTTTAGTATAAAAATATAATCATTTATACACTTAACTATATTTTAATCAATAGAAAAATAACTTATAATAAAAATAAATACAATTTATAATGAAGGTTAAAAATGATACTTATTTTGTAATAAATTTTTTCGTGTCTACAATAATAGTTAATATGAAACCGAGGTAGTATCTAATATCACCATCGACTATAGAACATGTACTCTAAAGTTAAATTTAACTATTCTTCTGCCGACTAAAAATACCCATCCTATTTTTTAGTTGTTATATAATTTTTAAACGTACCACTATAAATATTTTTTAAAGTATCTACAGATATTAAATATATTTTCTGAGCACATCGATAAAAAGGACCATATTCATGCTGTTCTTGATATTTGTTAAAGGTTATGTCTATTCTGTGCATAAACAATTTGAGGGAGCCATTTGGGCACCTACACAAGTCAACATGTTTTTTCCTTCTTATATATAAATTGAACTGGTAAACATAGTATATGAATATGGATTGCATAGGAAAGCCTGTATACAGTTGCTCAAAAAAAAAAAGGAAGCCAACCATGCATACAATATCTACTTCCTGTGAAAAAAACATTTATGGGCACCATTGATAAGTTAATTATTTTGATTATATAGTTATATTACTCCTCAGTGTTCAGATATTTTAAGTATTATTATATTTAAATATTCATAAAACTATTGTAAAATGTAATAATATATCTTTATTTTATTTTAAAATTCAAAAATTTTATTAAAAAAAAAAAACTAATTAACAAAAAAAAAACTAGTCTACAAGCAAAAACAAGATTAAAATTTATATTTTTCCAAACGCAAATAAAAATCTATTCATACTAATTTCTGGGTATTTGTTTTTGAGAACAAATCATTTTTGGATATTGTTTTAAAAACAAGCCAATTTGAAAGTTACACATATTTTTGTGTCACAGTTCCCCTATGTAAGTTTAAAATGTATACTTCACCTGTTTCATATTAAGTGTCACTTTAGTTTTGTGCACACGGATCAAGAAAATAATTAATTTTACATATTTTTATATAAAAATATAATTATTTGTACACCTAATTATATTTCAACCAATAGAAAATAAATTATAATATAAAGCTAAGGAATTTTATTTTAAAAATAAAAAGACACTTATCTTGTAACAAATAAATTTACTCTACATTGACATGTAATATGGAGCAGAATGAATAAGGTTTAAAGTAGTCCCAGACTCCCAACAGTTGGGGACATGTATGCAGTGCACTATGTCATTTTTTTGGTTAATTAAAAGGTCAAACGTGAAAACAACCAAAATTTCGGTCACATTTATAAACAACTAATGGCTTGACTTTGAAAATACAAAAAAAATGTTAACTATTACACCTAATTATAGTAGTCTAATTTTAATAATTTGTGTTCATTTTTATGATATAAAATGATAACTAACATTACTTAATCCTGTAAATTAATTTTATGTACACATAAATTATCTAAGATAAATACAGTTTAATTTCTTTCAAAATTATTTATATAGAAATTAATTGAAACTAATAATTAAATTATTTTACATACATACAGTTTGATGATTCGTCCATTTACCAAATTTATATATTTTAATAAATATATTAGTATAAATTTTATTATTTATTAATTAGTTCTTGTGAAAAAAATTTGATACTAAAAATAACAAATGACATCTAAAATTTCTTTTGACTTATTTATATATATAGCTCTTAAAAATTTAAATAATATTTTATAGTTAATTATTTATAATAATTATGGATGTGCTTAAGTATCAAATTTATAAAGAGTTTTTGATGATGATGTGGTATCTTAAGAAGACAACGATCAAATTTATATATATATATATATATATATATATATATAAATATAAGTTAATCAATTCCATCTAAATTTGAAAGAATTTGATGTATTGACTCAGAACAATATATTTATTAACAGAATAGACTAAATATGAAACATGATAGTTATTATATTTCTGAACTTAACATTAAATACGGAGAATTTCATGTTTACCTTACTTATTGTACCAAAATTCAGATTTATCTTCATTAAAGAGATATTTTTACAAACATCTTCTTCATTAAAGAAAGTTTCTTGTATTTTTACTTTATATATAAGTATAATATATATAATTATTTAAATAAATAATAATTTAAAAAAAAAATAATAGTTCGTGAATTATTTCACAATATATTTAAAATATTTATTTTAAGTATTTATTTATATGTTTGTTAAAATTCTAAACCCCATTCTCCAAAATCCACCTCTTAAATCTACATTCTAATTTTAGATTAGTTAATCTTAAAATTATAAGTGTCTGTTTACCTTTTTAAAACAAAGAATAAATGTAATTAAGGTAAACAAGAAAAAGTGTACTATGAAAATGTTAGTTTAAGTCATTTCTCAATTAAATATTATAGTATCTTTGCATTTGTTAGACTTATATATACACATTGTTTTGTGTTAGCCTCACTTAACTTTTAAGTCACGTGACTGTGATATACTGTAAATATTTTCATTTATTAATTAATTTAATCACAGAATAAAGTTGATTTTTGAAATAAAGAAATGTAATTGTTAACACAATTTAATAAAGTAATGACATAATATTTTAATATTTTATATGTATAATTTTGATGATATTATAAATTAACTATACAAATTTATGTATATAGAACTATAATAAGATATTGAAATGTGAGTGATGGTTTATTTACTTTAAGTAAAAATCTTGTAAGTAATTTTTAATACTTAGATCATAACTCTGAAATTTGAAAAATAAACGATGTCTTCTCGAGTTTTCTTCTAAATTTATAAAGAGATACTAGGTGTTTTCCAGCACATGTGTAGTGATAAACTTTTTCAAGTTTAAATTATATTTAAAATGCAATTTATTAATATTATATATTTTATTATTTTTAATATTTCATATATAATTGATCTAATTAAGCACAAAATTAAGAAAAAATAAATTTTAAAATTTAAATTTGAATTTTAGATTTTTTGCATCTATTTCTTTGGTTAAATGTATTAAATATACTTGTATAAAATTACTAAAAAAATCATACAAAATTGCATAGTTATTAAAATTATAACTAAAGAATATCTATAAAAATTGTCGATATCTAAAACCTAATGATATTACGATTAAAAATTTATTCCTTTTTAATAAGATGTAGAAAAATTTGAAAATATTAGAAATAAAAATTGCAGAATTATAAAAGTAAAATTAAATAACATTTAGAAATTTACAATACATATTTCAATATATTTATTTTTAGTAATGATTTGATTTATGAGTTATTACTATATTTTAAGAAGTTTGCCCAAAATATAAATCAACATTAAATGTAGTATATATTAGTTATTGCAATATTCTATAAAATTTGCCAAAAATATATATCAGCAATAAATGTAATTGTCCATGTCATATTTAACTATAAGCTATATCATCAATATTTGTATCCATATGCCATTTTGTAAAAATGATTGTAGAGAGTTACATGTGCCCAATCACTTCGTAAATAATAAATAGAATTTTTTTTGTAGAAAATATAAATAAATAGAGAATTCATGGACTTTCTGTGTATTTGCTTCCAAAAATGTTAAATTCGAATAACATGCATTTGTTTTGAATAAAATGTTAAGTTTGATAGAAAAGAAAAATATACTTACGCAACATTGAATGTCATAATTTTTTACTATGCCATAAAAGAGGATAAAACTTGTAGATATCAATTGTCGGGATGAGGTAGCTCGTTTGGTAAGGACCCTCAGAGTCAATTGTCATGCTCACGGATTCGACGTTAGGCGGAGGAGAACTGCCGAATCTTATCACCAAATACGGTACCGGGTGTTGGGTCTTGTCCCCACCTCAGATAAAGCTCTCCCGGGTGAAGTGGACTGCTGTATAACCGGGCACAGGGGAATGACTCACGAAGTGGGAAACCCTGATTATCAAAAAAAAAAAAAAAAACTTCTACAGAAATCAATGAACGCAAAAGTGCTCCCAAATCACTTCTGGAGCGCAATGTAAAATCTTCGATCCCGCAATTGGTTAATCAACAACAGACGATTTCGAAGAAGTCAATCAACGGTCCTGTAGAGGGTTGCAGTCAATCTTGGACACAACCCCATGTTTTGAGTGTTTCATTAACTCCAAATAACGTACACTGGCCTCAAACTCATGTCGAACCAGAAAGAGACAGATCCTGGATGGTTGTGTTCTTTACATATATATCTAGGTCTCTGTAAAATATATTTATGATATCCTTATCTGAACTATCATGCTTAACAAGCAGATAAACCAGTCAGGTGAATGAGATGTCTGGGCAATTATTTAATGAAGAACATGATGAAATTTTGAAGAGACTTTCAAGACAGCTAATTTATCTTTGTTTTGAAGGAAATCGTATTGGAGATCCATAATAGTTCAGGGATGATGTGTACAAATTATATAGTTCACGTGGTCCTCGATACCTTAATTTCGTCCTGATGAGTAATCATGTAGTGGTGTAGCATTCCTGTAATTGATAATCATTTTTTTTCTTAGTAATATGCACGCTTATTAAAATAACAAGAGAGTATATACCTAATCTGAAGTAAAAAGGTCAAACAAGTGGGCATATACCTAACAAAGATGCCGCGCCCATATCAACTGGCATTCTATAAATTCCTTAACATTTCTGGTATCAGACTATCTCTTCAATCTCTCTCTCACACCCAAGCTACTAATATAACGACAAGGTGAGGATATAGAAGTGTATCGAAATTCACTTTATCATTTATATACATCCGCATCTTACCGTATGTAATCTAATGTTTGTGGTATTTAATATGGTCTCTTTATTAAACATTTCTTGTCTCTCTTTTACACGTAAACCCTTATAGCTAGAGTCAGACTAGTTTTTCTTTCCTATCTGACAAGAAGATCATAATGTTTCAACATTACAATACTTATATTTGCAAGAAATATATATATGTACAAAATTATTAACATTTGGTGCGTGAAAGCAGGAGAGACGAGCAAACCTGAGATGGCTGAACAACAACTAGGAGTGCTCAAGGCACTCGATGTTGCGAAAACTCAACTTTACCATTTCACGGCGATCGTTATCGCCGGAATGGGTTTCTTCACAGATGCTTATGATCTGTTTTGCGTCTCTTTGGTGACCAAGCTTCTTGGCCGCATCTACTACTTCAATCCGTCGTCAGAAAAACCTGGCTCACTTCCCCCTCATGTGGCCGCTGCGGTCAACGGTGTGGCTCTCTGTGGGACCCTTGCGGGTCAGCTATTCTTTGGATGGCTCGGTGATAAACTCGGAAGAAAAAAAGTGTATGGTATCACTTTGATCATGATGATCATGTGCTCCGTGGCATCCGGTCTATCTTTTGGTAACAAAGCCAAGGGTGTCATGACCACTCTTTGCTTCTTTAGGTACGTAAAATTATCATTACATGTTTTCTATATTTTTAAAAATAAAATTTTTGTTAAGATATGATGGTTGGGATATATCTTTATTTGTAGTTATCATAAACCTTACTAGTTTATGATTATCCTTTGGCATGTAATCTTTATTCTAGTAGGATTCTAGTTTATCCTTGTCATTGGATAGATTGTAGACACCATATATATATGTGTGTCGTGTGGTTTAATGAGATACACAAGTTACTACTCTTCTA